TGGCACCGTCGGACTTGCCGTTCTTGCCAGCGTGGCCCTTTGCTTTGGCTTTTGGGAGTACAGGAGCAGCATCAGGTCCGCCGGGTTTCCCCTTTCTGCCCTTGCCACCCTGGTTCTCCTGTTTGCCAGTGGCTGGGGCCGCATCTCTGCCGCCTGACTTCATCATCGACTTGACCGATCTCTCCTTCATGTCAAGCATCAGGTCCTCCCGATCCGCCTTGATCTGATGGTCGATCAACGCCAATAAGAATTCATACGTTTTCTGAGGATGCTTGTCCGGCAGTCTGTGGTAGGCATTGAGGCCGAATTCCATCTTCTTGCTCCCCTTGATTTTCCTGTAAAGGATATCTTTGAGAGCCAATTTACTGGGCCTGTCCTCGCTCCTCATCTTCAGCAGCAAATCATACCATTTGTTCCTGAACATAACCAAGTTCTTGTCTCCAGGAAAGTCAAGGTTGAATAAGTGCTCGATGTGGTAGACAAGATCCGTCCTATCAGATGTTCTGAATGATTGCATAACCAATGCCACCAACTCTCGTCCCTTCACGATCACCCCTTGTTGATGTCGTAGTTCCGCGTGCCGCGTAGCGTCGAGGTACACGTCTTTGGCTTCGTCAGGTGCTTGTTTCAACATGTTCTGCATGCCCATGGCCATCTTAATATCTATCGTAGCAAATCTGTCGCCACCCGAATCGCTAAGCATATTCAGGTCTGGGTTTAACCCAAGAGCTTGTTCCAACCATTTTGTCCATGTGTCAGTATCTGGATCTGCGCATGCGCTCAGAACATTCATCAGCAGTTGCATCTTCCAGTTATCAAGTTGGTGGATCTTTGGCCAAGCAGGAATAGATACCCTCTCGGCCTCTTTCCTCGAGATCCTCGGTCTATCGTTCTTGACCTCTCGATCATCTCTCGATCTTCTTCGTCTCCTCCGTGTCCGATTGTCATCTTCTTCCTCTTCTTCTTCCTCGTCTTCTTCATCCTCTTCGTCGTCGTCGTCCTCGTCCTCATCATCGGGTGGGTCATCCGGAGGTCCTCTCCGCCACCTGTGAGGCTCAACTGACGTCGACTTGCTCCCTGCCTGTTTCCATTGGGCGAGAATCCACCGTAATCCAATGGGGGCGTAGTACCGTTGTTTCCCCCTCCATCACCGCCGCCAGTCGTAGTGGTGGATTGTGGGACATGTCCGACAACCCCTTGCATCTGGGATAGGTGTCCATCGATCATTGGATCACCAAAAGACGGAAAGAGAATCGAACCTGGCATTAGCGACGAATTAGGGGTCAGATTCGAAGACGATGACGGGACTAACCCAGCCACCTTCTTGTCTACCCTAGTTGAATTAGCTTGGGGTCCTCCCTCAGCGCGTTTCACTACTGCTCGTTCACGATGTCCATCTTTGCTGCTAGAGGCTTCCTGTGTCTCCAGCTTCTTGTGCGCACGTAGTTCCTCATTGTCAGCATCGAGTTGGCGAACAAAACTCTCTTCTTGCTTGAGCGTCGCCTCCCTTTCCTTCAGTTGCCCCTGAAGCTCATGCATCTCCTCAAGGTATTCATCGTACACCCCCTTAGCTGTCAATCTCCAGTACTCAGCCTCCTTCGACTTCTCGTCCATCGTGCACCGTTCTTCTTGTTTTGCTCCTTTGACCTGGGCTAACTCCAAGATCGCATCTTGACGATGACCACCCTCGACAGCAATCATCTGGTCCTTCATCGACACGTCGGATTCATACTGTTTGACGATCTCTTCCTTCTCGCGGAGCAAGCAATCTGCTCTCTTTGATTCTTGTTCCGCAAACACTGTAACGTCATTCAGTCTCGCCATCAGCTGTTCCCTGGAGTCCTCCATAGAGTACGTCTCGGGGCGCTTGACGAGTGCGTGCTCCAACTGTGATTTCAGGCTTTGGACCATCTCCTCCTCGTTGAACTTCTCGATAGATGTAGACGATTCGATGCCTCTGATCTGTTGCTGATAAACTGATATCTGCTGTGAAGCTTCACGGTGTATCTGATTTGCACGTATAGCTGACTCCTGCGCGGCCGACTTCTCGCTTGCCATGTAGGATTTCATCACTGCAATCTCCCGCTTCTGCTCCATGATAGTTCCTTCAGCTTGTCTCATCTGTTGCATTATAACATTCGACTCCATGTCTTTCTTTTCCCCGTACTGATATGCGTTCATTTCCACCTTGCGCATCTGTTGGGCTTCTTCCTCAAACTTGCGCCATGCTTCAGCCATGTGGTGTTGGTGGTGGCTCACTAGATGTCCCGACTGCTTGCTGGCAATCTCGCATCGTCTTTCCAGCTCCTGGATCCGGATGGTGCTTCCATAGTCTTCTTGATGAAGATTCGCCATCGCTGCCGACATTTCATCAAGTGTCTTTTGGTATTCCCCGATCTCCATCTCCATCTTGTTCTTTTCCTTAATCGCGGCGCGAAACTCAGCACTGGTGGGTGATTTTGACCTCCCACTCTTTGATGTTGACCTCACGCCCTTCTGCGACGTCCGTGGTGTCGCAGGCGAAGATGACGATCTTCTCGGTGGGGATTCTCTCTGCTTCGACTCCTGATGAACATCGATCTGCTTCCATGATCTTGTGGGAGTGGATATGTCGCTGAATAGCGCGGATCCTCCGCTTCCAGGTTCATCCTGTGAATCTGCGATCATATCCATCACCGCAGGAAGAGCCATCAATCCATTGGATCCCTCTGAGCTGCTGTTCCCAAAAGTTGCAGTACTTGGGCTCGCTGAAGACGCCATTGCACTGTGTAGGTTATCGTTCCTTTATTGTCCCTGTACCCGCAATAAACCAGCTGTCTCTCTGTCCAGTGTAGAGCTTGTCGATACGGCTGATAACCTGTCAAGAGACGGCAAGGTGACGTCCCGTGGGACGCTGTGCACCGAACCCTCCAGCTGTAATACCAACCACGTAGAAAGGTGTATACGGACGATGCCGTTATAGCCGAACCCGTGTAAACGTTGTAAGGGAGAAGGAATAATAGTTACAACAGTGGTCCTGACAAATGCAGCGCAAGCGAAGTGTTTTCCGCTCTCAATGCCGATCGCGTGTGAACGCAGCTACACATCAGATCTTGAACCTCAATTGTGTCTTGAGCCAAATGGCAATCAATGGAACTTGGTAAGCAACACTAACACAGACCTCAGAACAGCTTCCCAATTTAGGCACGGGGCCTAGAGGGTTTTAACAGTTAGTGTCAAGCGTGCCCGTTGCCTTATGTTCCCATGCCTGCGCTCAGATTGATGGAGCGTCTCTTGGGTAAAGAGCCGAAGTTTGTGTTCTTCGATGACAACAAGGCTATGATCAGTGCTGTTCGATCGGGTAAGAACCCTACTATGAGGCATCTGGAACGAAGTCATGGTGTTGCTGTCACATGGATGCATGATATGTTCGAGCGGGACTACATGTACCTAGCCTATGAGGTCACGGACCGTATGGCTGCTGACATCTATACCAAAGCTTTCAGTGTGTGCAGATTGGATTGCTCGAGCCGGATATGCTGACTGACCCCATCTTCTTTTGACCCCAAGAAGGGAACCGTACAGGCGGCCACTGGTTCGATCGATGGCATACCCACTGTTCCGCGCACGAAGGCGCCGATCATGCCTCCCGACCTTTGGTGGCAAGGATTATCCTCAAAGGAAGGCCTTCATGAACACGAAGGGCATGATCCGGTCGTCGTGGCAAAGGTTCTGAAACTCATGCGGTACCAGCCACCACCCACGGTGCAATGTCCTATTGGTAAAAGGTGGTTGCGTTCCACTTGGTTTCTGTGCGGTGGATCATGGGAGAAGGTTGAGGATCGAGTTGAACCCGCGTTGCAATGGGAGCGCATCGACAAGTACGTCGAGCGTGCGGTATGGCAATTTCATCCGGCACAGCCTGCTGCACCGGCCCCCCAGGTTATTCAGCCTAGACAACATTTCGGACGGGACGATTCTTTTCAACTGTTCATTCAGGAAGTCGATGGCAAGGACATCCTGGAAACGCCTCTCAACTCTCTACCTGCACGTGTTTTACGGTGTTTCAAGACTATGATGCGTCGAACGCATGCTCACCACCGTGAACAAGACAATCATCGTTTCTTTGTCCCATACAGAATTGCAGTTCGCAACCATTTGCAACCTGCTGATCCCAATGCAAATAATACTTTTCGTTTCGTGAATCACAATGGCACTGTGCTTGACTTGCCTGGCTATGCCTATGTACCTGGTTTGGCTACTGGCACAGAGGTCACCCTCGTGGCATTGGACCCCAACAAGCCTACGGTTGTCACGGCGTGTTCCAAATCGCACAACTGGTTTACAGCGCTTGCGCAACGCTGGCACGTACAGGTTGTTACGATTACACTTGAGGATGACCTGCTATCCCAGTACGGGGAGAACCTCGCCAAGCACGCCATTACCAAAACGAGTGACATGTTATTTTTTGCTGGACCCTGCACGGGAGGATGGCAAGTCCGGGAGGACCTCTTGCAGGACTTGCAAAAGATCCTAGCAACCCGTGCGGCGCTGTGCTTCAAAAAATGATGCTGAATTTGGAGTCGCCTAAGAAAGGCCGTCAGACATTGACCATTGACCTGGGACTATGTGAGCCCCATGGCCTTTTTGTTCCCCCTTACACATAAACGACCTGACGTGGGGGACTTGCTGCGGAAACCATTGTCGGAGCATGGGAAACTGAGACTGCTGTTTTACGCAGATGAAATCAAAGCTGGCAATATCCTGCGGCCCGACGGTGGGCGAGGTCAGCTGCGCTTCTACTGGACGCTGGCAGACTGGCCAGACTGGTACCGATGTCGAGAAGGAGGATGGATTCATTTTGCGTCTTTTCCTTGTAAATTGTTGCCCGACGTTCCTGCTGGGGCTAGTCACTTATTTGCTCGGATGCTGGATGTTTTGTTGGAACGAGACACGCTCTGAACTTTAATACTGGTTTTCCTACGAAGAGCACGCAGGGCACCATGGTCCTCAGTGGGAAGGCACCGGCGAATACTACGACGAAAAAGACCTCGACAGGCTCTACGTCAACAAGCAGGATGCGCTTGAGACTGTGAAGAAAAACACCCGGAAGTACTACTGCCCAGTCCGCGAGTGCTGGATGTTCGAGAACCCGAACTACAAGCGGTCCGTCAAAGACAAGACAGAGCTGGGCACCTCGTCCAAGCGCATGGACAAGCCTGGGAAGAAGAAGCGCGGAAAGGACCCTCCGCCTCAGGACAAGCTCAAGGCCGGCGAGAGGAAGCGCCTCAGCAAAAAGCTGGAGACTCTGAACGCAAAGTACTTGCAGGCCCTTGACAACAGGCCACGAAGGGTGAGCTGAAGGACATGGTTCCAGCCTACGATGCCTTAGCGGTCGAGGCCGCAGTGGCTAAGGTGCTGCCGGACAACTGCGGGGAGGTTCACGAGGACAGCCTCGACGAAGCCATCGACAGGGTTGGCGGTGCTGGGGGGCGCTTGAAGAGCCAAGTGGAGCAGGCAGCCTCCTTCTTGGCGCGCCGGAGGAATAGAGCGCTGATGTTTTCCCCCAGCATGGCAAGGCTTGCCTGCCAGCCCGCTCCGGCGTAATGAAAAATAGACAGCGCGCCCGCAGCCACTGCGCGCGCGTAGAGGCTGATGTCCTGCCACGTCGAATGCGCCGACATTTAAGGAGCCTGCGTGATCTGCGGCCGTGTGCCAGAAGGCGTCGTAGCAGCGGCTTGCCCCTGTCTTCCTCGCGAGGCTTTGTGCCCGTGGAGCGATGCCGAGCAGCAGCAAGCCCGCAGCATGCGCGGCCGACTCCATCAGCGAGATGCTTGAATTTCTCAGAGCTCTTCGAGAAAGTGGCGCCGAGGATGTGGACGCCGAGAAGTCCATTGTGCAAGGATGCCTGGACGCGTTTGCGTCGGGGCCATGCTTGAGCTTCGCGGAAGGCGCGCGGCTACTTAAGGAAGTGAAGGCTGCAGGCCTCAGGCGTGAAACGCAAGATGCGTTGGTGAAAGGGTTGCAGGGAAAAGTGTCAAGTGAACATGCCGCCAGCAGGGACCCTGCTCAGAAAGACATGCAGACGTCGAAGAAGAAGATGCAGAAACATGCGCACTTGCAAGAGTATCTCTTGAAGGAGGAGTGGGAGCTGCTACAAAACAGCACCGCCAGCTGGGACCAAAAGCTCCAACACGTTGCCAAGCGATTCGTCTCCCTGGGCCTGACCTGCCTGAGCGAGAACACCAGCAAGCTGGCCGTGGCCATGGAATACTGCGCCAGCCTAGCAGATGGTTCAGGTGCTTTCAAGCCCTAACCATCAACGCTGCTCAAGCCGGGCCATTTGTAGCAAAAACCCAAAGGAAAAAGCGTTTAGTTGGTGCAAGCGAGGCAAAAGCGTTTAGTTGAGCTATTCCCACGTTTTTTAAATACTTAAAGAAGTGAAAATTGTCTTAAATAAAGAGGTTTGGTGCCGAAATCGGCTTCCGACCACAGTGCGGAGCGTTTAGTTGGTGTGTTGCAAAGCTTTGCTGGCGGCGAAAAGTGTGGTTTTACCACAGTGCGGAGCGTTTAGTTGGTGTTTTGCAAAGCTTTGCTGGCGGCGAAAAGTGTGGTTTTACCACAGCGCGAAGCGTTTAGTTGGTGTTTTGGAGAGCCTTGCTGGCGGTGGAAATTGCAGTGTTTTACCACAGCGGGGAGGGTTTAGTTGATGTTTGTCTGTGTGTGTGGGCCTTGCGGTCATTTTCTTGTCGCGTCAGGTCCAATCTTTGTGGTTTGGCTGAAGCTTTCATGGCTTTGGCGTTGGAATGTCTTTCAGGGCAGAAGGCCAGAGGGTCGGATGTCTCAAAACCCCCGGCCCCCCTTGAGCAATGTTGTTTTCAAGATGTTGCGCGCCCAAAAACTTTGAAGGTGTGAAAGATAGTTTACATTCGAGATTCCAAACAACAACCTTGCTTCTGGGGAGCGGGGTTGCTGCGATTGGGGAACAAAAAACCGGGACAAAGACCGAATAGAAGCTATTGCTCTGCAAGCGCGCAGACGGGTGCGTAATGATGTAATCATTGGGATGACATGTGGTGCCTGTATTCTGGCAGCATTTCTTGGTTTACAGAAACGACCCGCACAGTAGCTCTAGTCCATCCTTGGGCTTTGCCCAAGTTGGCTCTCTTGAAACCAGCTCTAGTATATCCTTGGGCTTCTTTGCCCAAGTTGGTTCTCTGGAAAGCAGCTCTAATCTGTCCTTGGGACCTTCCACGCCTAAGTTGGTTCTCTTGAAACCATTTCTAATCTATCCCTGGGACCCTCTTTGCCCAAGGCTGTTCTCTTGAAACCGTCTCTAGTCTACCCTTGACCTTCTTCTTCGCAATTCATCTCTAGTCTATGTTTGGGACCTTCTTTTCCCCAAAACCACTTCTAGTCTATCCTTGGGACCTTCTCTGCACCCAAGGCTGGTTCTCTTGAAACAACTTCTAGTCTATCCTTGGGACCTTGTTTGCGACAGTTGGCTCTCTTGAAACCACGTCTAGTCTATCCTTGGGACCTTCTTTGCCGAAGTTGCTCTTGAAACCATCTCTAGTCTATCCTTGGGACCTTCTTTGCCAAAGTTGGCTCTCTTGAAACCAGCTCTAGTCTATCCTTCCGACCTTCTTTTTGTCCAAGGTCGCTCTTTTGAAACCACCTTCTTTGTGAAAGGTATGCACTTGACCGCGGTGTGGTCATTCAGAAAACCGGTTTTGGATGCTGCATTGCCTTTTCATTGGTACCGGAACTCTTCGGCGGAGAACCGATCTGATTGAGAGGTATTTGGAAGTATATCGGATGCTTCATTGCCTTTTCATTGGTAGCGGAACTCTCTTGTGGAGAACTGATCTGATTGAGAGGTAGTTTGGAACATTGCGGATGCAACATTGCCTTTTTGATTGGTGTTGGAACTATTTTGGGAAGGTCCAATATGATTGGATCATATTGGAATACTGTACGGAAGTTCACAACTGCGTTTGAACCGTTTTGGGACATTGTGAACTGAGATGAGATGTTTTGGATGTATATAGAGAAGCTTTGTGATAGCCCGGAACCGTTTTTGAAGCACTCAGGGTTGTTACAAATTGTTTTGGCACAATTAGAGAATTTGGAGTTGAAATCATTGAGGAATGATTTCAAGGGATGTCGTTTTGGACGCCATTTGCATGTAGAGAACAGCGCTTGCACTAAGGTGGTTGATACTTCGTTCTTCGTTTTCGCCCCCTTGGTTGGATGGCTGTTTCTCCAAGCGATGACATATGTGAGCACAGAAGGATGCACTAAGTGTATCTGTTACAGGTTGGTTTCGGCCTTCCTTGTTCGCAGAACTCTGTGATGAAAGTGATCACGTCTGATGGGGTGTTCCTGGTGTTTCTTTGTTGGTTTGGGTATTGGTATAATCAACCATTTTATCGGCGAGCGCTGTGGAATGATTTGGAAAGGATGTTTCGGAGGTAACTTTTGTCCTTGAGAGTTTGGAAGGAATGCTGAATGAGTTCACCTGGAATTGTTGCAGTTTAAGTAGTACGAGTCTGTAGAAGACCTGGAATTGAGATTCCTTTTTTGTCACAGAGACGGCGCAAACTTCGTCTAAGGTGACTAGAGTTAGCACTGTAACAAGACAACTTTCCTTTCTTGTTGGCGTGTGGTCAGAGCGAAAAAGCTAACTGAGCTGAGCGAGCGTGAAGAGATTTTCTTGAGTGGAAGGTTGAGACCTTTTGTTGTTGATTTGTTTTTGCACGAGGTCACGATGTTCAGGTCGTTTGCCGTTGTAACTAGTGACGTGCTTTCGTATGGTAGCGGGGCTTCTGCTCCAATAACGCTTCGCAACAAGCAATGAACCCAGCCAACATTGCAAGCCCAGGTCAACTTGAGGCAGGGGTCTTTGGGAGAGAAGGTGTTATGAGTGCGTGTGCGGGCGTCGTTCCTGAAAGCGGTATGTTGGTGGATGACCCATGGCCTGGATACTTAAATCAACAGGGAAGGTCGCGACAAGGTGTTGGTTGGGCTTCTTCAGGACAGTCAGGTGGAAGTTCATCTGTTGGAGGGAAAGGTGTGCTGTTCTCACCGTTTCAAGGTCAGGTGAGCGGCGGTCGCTGGCCGCCAGGTTTCCCGACACAACACAGCGTATCTGAACAACAAGCGTTCCCACAAACAAGCAATGCGCAGTAACAGGTTTTGGGATTTTCCTACGCGAGGACCCTTGGTCCCGGTGGATCTTTGTTTCCTGATCAACAGAACTTGGGTGCGCCACCTGGTTTTGAGTTGCACACAGAAAGGTTGAGAGGGATTCCTCAAACGATGGTTAGGACCGATGCAGAGAATGTTTGCGCCTGCGAGATTAGGACAAGCAGGGCGTGGTCCAAATGCTCCAGTGCCTGCACCTCCTGAAACAGGTCTTGGTTTAGCAGGAGTGCATTCAGAGAAAGAAGATCAGGATCTTTTTTCGAGATCGGAAACATGGATGGGTCCGGCTCCAAGCCCAGGATTTGAAAAATGGAAAGGCAGAGAGGATGAAACCCTTGGGATGTCGCAATACGTCCAAGAGTTGGTGAGTTGGGCCAATGAAGGCTCAGTGGAGTTCGGGCGGGAGATAGCACAAGCAGCCCGCTGGCCATGTCAAATTGACTGGGGTACTTTGACGCGGAGTCAGCAGGTGAGAGAAGTAAGGTTGTTTAGCCTGCTCAAGGCAGCCTTCGCGAATCACGGAAAAAATTCTTTGCTCATTGAAGGCTTCACTGAGGGACTTGATGTTGTAGCTGTTGCCCAGCAAGGAGATGTGTTTGGTAACTCTACCACGTACATGGGACATGGGCATGAATTGTTGTGACAATTGAATCAAGAGTTTTCTTTGAGAAGTAGGTCTGAGGCATTGGGCCTCAGGGCCCTTTGATGCAGAAACGATTTCAGGCTAGTGCAGCGTATGGTGCATCTGTGGCTGACACGGTGAGGCAACCCGAAGTTTCGGTATCTAGATACTTGAGACTAGTATCAACCTTGGTAGGGGCAGATGTGAGTGATTTGGGGGTGAGTGACTCGGACAAATTGACACTTCTCATTCGTTCACTTCCTGAAGCCGCTAAACAGTACACTTTGCACCACAGCACGGGTGAATCATTTTCTTCTTACGGCCTCTCTGAAATTTGAGCACCAACAGCGTTTGTTTTTAGAGCTCCAGGGAACCAAAGGAATTTTCACTGTTCAAGAGTCTAATGAAATCAACTCGGAAGAAGCTGACTTGCAAGAGGGTGATGAAAGTTTGGTTGTGGCAGGGAAATGGTGTAGACCAAGCGAAACCGCAGGCACCTCGCTGTGAGAGGTGTGGTAAGAAGGGTCATGACCGGGCAAGCTGTCAAACAGACAGACAGATCACATAAGCACCAGTTGCAACGCTTCAACAAGTTCTAAGGACTCAGAGAAGGGAAAGAAAGGGAGGTTCCACAGGGTCTAGCTCAAGCGTTGGTTCCAGGCCACCGAGTGTTCCGAAAGGAAAGGGGGAATCCGATGGAAAGAAAGGACAAAT